GAGCCTGCTAGCGAGTGGTTCTGGCTCGAGCGGGTGGCCCCGGCGGGATCTCTGAACTGACTGGCCGGGGTGTCCTGGGACTTCCGTCCCCCCAGTGCTGAGAGTGCAAAGCGCGGCCCTTGCCACCTATCCCACGCCCGGTCTCCAGGCAGATTTTGGACCAGGCTTGTCAGTGATGGGGCTTTGCTGTTCTGGATTAGGTGGGATTATTGGACTGGCTGCTGTTGGAGGGAGAGACAAGTTACACAGAGCCCGTCTTCGGCTCTAATATTTAGCATTTTATGTTTTCGAAGCGTAGCGTTGTGGTTGGCGTGGGAATGGGAGCTTCTGTATTTCATTCCAGGCCCTGCCACTGGTTTATGATGTGTAGGCAAACTTAATCTCTGTGCTTCAGTTTCTTCATTTTACTACAGGGAACTATGACTAATGAGGTTTAGATGTTTAGGTTGCAACGCTTCTCAAAATCCTCAAAGGGCTTTGTAGAAGCACAGATATTATTGGGATTTAGTGCCTCTGAACTTGGGTGCATGACAACCCGTTTAGCTGCCTAATGAAAGAAATGGTGGTGATCCCAGGGGCGGCTCTATGTATTTTGCTACCCCAAGCACTGCAGTGAGGCAGCCTTCGGCGGCATGCCTGTGGGAGGACCGCTGCTAACATGGATTCGGCGGCATGCCTGCGGGAGGTCCACCGGTCCCGCGCCTTCGGCGTGCCAGCCGCCGAAGCTACGGGACTGGTGGACCTCCCGCAGGCATGCCACCGAAGGCTGCCTCACTGTCGCCCCCACAGCGATCGGCAGGCTGCCCCCCGCGGCTTGCCACCCCAGGCACATGCTTGGTGCCTGGAGCTGCCCCTGGGTGATCCAAATACTAAATAAAATCAACATTTTATTCTTGAATCAACAATTTTATCCTCATCTTCAGACGTTAGTACAGTAATCTGCTATGCCAGGGGACAATGTGTGGAATGACGGATACTTGGTACTTTGTGTTATACTGGCATCTGAAAGTGATTTTGAATATCAAGGATAGTTGTGACCACAGTCAGAATTTCATGGAAGCAATAAAATAATTCTTCTTAATGTACCATAGACAGTTATCCTCAAAGAATAGCATATGCAGTATTATATTAGTAGCACCATCCATGTTAATAGATTTAAGAATTTGAAGACACTTCAGCAAGTGTGTCATATTTAAGTCCTGACTTTCACAGTCTTAACACTTACCGTTCATCTTAACCAGTTGTTGCTGCATTTAATATATTAGTGTGGCTATAGTCAGAAGAATAAAATGAGAGGTTCCATATCACTAACTTTCATATTAAACATGCTCATTTTAGAAAGTTCATTTGATTTCTACCTTCTGGTACCGCATGCTCAACTTGGTGTGAGGAAGTCAAGCTGTGTTCTTCACATTCTTGCGTCATCTTTGGTTAAAGATTGTACAATTAGAATTTATTTGACAACTATGACAATGCAAGAATGGGAATTGAATCTGTTTTGCTGTTCTTTAGCATTAATGAGAGTAACTTTGTCAGTGAGGTAAGCAGATATAAAAGGAAGATGCGCAGAAGCAAATATTAAGAAGGTGCCCTTCTTACCTAATCACTCTTCTAACTGTATTTGCCATTTAAAAACAAGAACACAGAGGCTGAGAGCTTTGTGCTGCTCTCAAGCAACTTGTTGAGGCTAGTATTCAGAGTGCCATTTGTGCAGCTTCTGTAGATGCCTTGTGAAGATGGCTTTTTTGGTAGGAGAGGTTATTGTGGTGAAGTTTTTTGAGGGGGAAGAAGTGGAATAGTAAAGGGTTCCTTCTCCCTTCCAAAATATACTTGTGTGAATTTTAACAAATATGGTTATATTAAGTCAGGTGGATGAATATTTTAAATTGTAATTGTTAGAATATAACTTTCATACAGGCGCTCCTGTAAGTGCTGCTGAGGAAATACAATGTGGAGAATCAGCCTAGCTACAATTCTTTTATATGACACTTGTCCTTTTGGTTTAAAAAAAAAAAAAAAAGTTTCTCGTATTATTACTATCACCACCTGTCTACTTCTCCTGAAGTTTAAAAAAATAGACAACTTCTTGGTCTTTGGTTCTGTTTAAAAAAAAAAAAAAAATCTGGTGCCAAGGGTGGCTAGGCATTTAGGATACCTGATTGTCAGGAACCTGACTTGAGATATCTAAAAGGACCCTGCCTGATTTTCACAGGGCTGGTGCTCAGCTCTTTCTGAAGTCTTCCTCTAAGGTAGAATGAGTGAGTGGTGGGAAGGAGGCAGTTTTAATCCCAGATAAAAAAATAAATTGCAGGAAAACATTCTATATCAAGTTCCTTGTAAATATCATAATAGAATGCAAAAATGGTACACTACAAAAAGTAAGCTCTTCAAGGGTGGGACCATGTCTAGTTACTTAGGTGTAATATGTGACTCAAACGGAGCAGGGATGGGATGAGGAAGAGCAACAGCAAAGATATGTTACTTGGTTTAGGTACATGCTTAGGTAACTTGTCATCCAATTCCCATTGTATCAAAGTACAGTATTGGCGGGGGGAAAAGATAGCTCAGTGGTTTGAGCATTGGCCTGCTAAACCCAGGGTTGTGAATTCAATCCTTGAGGGGGTCACTTAGGGATCTGGGGCAAAATCAGTACTTGGTCCTGCTAGTGAAGGCAGGGGGCTGGACTTGATGACCTTTCAAGGTCCCTTCCAGTTCTAGGAGATGGGATATCTCCATTAATTTATTTTATTTTTATTTACATTTTAAGGAGGTAATTGAATAAAAAGGATATGGGCTTTCATGGGTCAGAATAAGGATTTTAAAATGTTCCCTGCAGTGGGACAATGTGGAATACCATTTTAATATTGCCTCTTATTCTGTATAGCGCAAACTAATGTACGTTCAGGTTTAAGTTATAAATTGCTTTAGCACAGTAAAATTTTGGGTAATTAAATGTTTTTGTTACAGGTCGGGAATACATTATCCCATCCTTGGCACACAGGTTTATAGCAGAGATGGTGGATTTCTTTATTCTTTTCTTTATAAAGGCAACCATTGTCTTAAGTATTATGCATCTCAGTGGAATAAAGTAAGTTAAACCATTTAAGGCATTATTATATAAAGCTTTTCACTCTTGTGATTAAAGAATATATATATATAATGTGCATTTTGGAGTAGCTAGGGTTGCACAGAGGAGAAGCACATGATGGAACCTTAATTGATAAGAGGCTCCTTTCAAACATATTTTGTCTTTTAAAAATAGATCTTTATTAAAGTGATACATTATACAGGTGTGTGTATTATAAAAAGTTACTGTACATGCCTAGAAATGCTCTCAAATGTTTACTTTTTTTTGTTAAGCGTAGTAGTTGGCACTCACAATTTGTTTAAAAATGAAATTTCTGAATACGAGCAGTTGGGAAAACATTTTAAACTAGCTTGTACTTTTAAAAGACACTATCAGGGTTTTTCAGAAATCTCACGTGCCCTGTTTAGAAAAACTTTGAAAGCTGATATATTGGAGGGTTTCCTCCATCAGTTGTTCTACACAAATTCCATGGTCTTTGGTGTGGAATTTTTATTTATTTATTTTAAAGAAAAGGGCTAAGTAGCATTTACTAAACAAAACACTTGTTTGCAATTCTTTAGTATGGGTAGGGGGTAAGATAAGTCAGATGTGGAACCTGTCAACCTTGACTGTTTTCTTTACTCCTTGTATAAAATGTAATTTTAAATGCTACTTGAGAACATGTTGCACGAGAACATTCATAGATTATAAAGTCAGAAGAGACCACTGGGATCATCTAGCATGACCTCCTGAATTAATTTGTTTGAACTAGAAAAATTAGAAAAAATATCAAATCTTGATTTAAAAATTCAGTGATGGAGAATCCACTGCAGCCCTTGGTAAGTTCCAATGGTTATTACCTTTGCTGTTTAAAAACTTGTCCCTTGTGCCTTCTAGTCTGAATTGTCTAGCTTCAGATCTTCTTATACCTTTGCTAGATTGAAGAGCCCTCTATTGAATTTGTTTCCCATGTAGGTAGTTTTAGACTGGTCAAGTCACCCCTTAACCTTCTCTTGGTTAAGCTAAAAGATTGAGCTCCTTGAGCCTTTCACTATAAGGCATGTTTTCCAATCATTTAATCATTCTCATGGCTCTTCTCTGAACCCTCTCCAATTTATCAACATCCTTCCTGAATTGTGGGTATCAGGACTGAAAATAGTATTCCAGTGGGTGTTGCACCAGTGCCAAATAGAGATAATGCAGTCTCCCTAATTCTACTAGATATTCCTATGTCTATACATCCAAGGATTGCATTAGCCCTTTTGGCCACAGCATCTCACCTGGACCTCATGTTCAGCTGATCATCCATCAAGATCCTCAAATACTGGTTCATAATAAAAAAAGAAGGAAAGGGATAACTCTGCCCCTCTTGTGGAAAGGTCTGCTTTCTTTTCCCTGATGGGCATCTGAATGGACTTGCAGTATCACTACAAAGGTACTGGCACTGGAAGATAAGTCCAAAGTTGGTGCCAAATGAGGAGTAGGTGCCGAGATGAGTTTTTCCTGCATCGTCGCCAAGACTTTTAGAGCCTCAGTAGACAGTGATGGTTTGGTCTTCTGTGCCACTTCTGATTTAGCTGCTGCTAACAATGCTGGATAAGGGATTTGCTCCTGGTATAAGGCTGAAGACATTCCAGTTTTGGACCTGTGAGAGACAGCAACACTAAGGCCAGAATGGCAATATCTGTCTTGGGTCCTGTGTCAGAGGACCTTGGCACAGAGGCTAGTCTCGGTTCCCTCAATGGCCCCATCTGAATATCAGGCTGTAGCCATGGAATAACCAGATGAACCTTGAGCCTCAAGTGTCTCCCCCTTCTAGTGCAGGTGGGAGGGAGTGAGGGTGTGGCAAGCTGTGCGAGACCCACTTGATAACCCAGACGTAGAAGGTACTGGATGTGTAAGGCATGATCAGTCAGGAGGTGCACATCTTGAAGAGCTTGGGGCTCAACTTGGTTACAGCGGAGAGTCAATTGTTCCCCAGGACAAGGGCAGTGTGTGTACTCTAAACTATACTGGGCACTGACTCATTATATGAAAATAATCTAGAGTAAGGGAAGATCTAGCCTTAGGACAGGAAGGCAAGTACCATTTGCTGTCTGTGGCAGCAGAGAAGGAACTGAGGTAGTTGAGGCTCCCCTCCCTTATACAGAGTTGGGTGATGAAGCTTTCTTCCTGTAAAATCTCTTGTGCGCCCCTCAAAAGATATTGCTTTTCAAGACAGCCCCTCAGCTCAACACCTGGGTCACCAGATTCTGCAAGTGGGTATACAGAGGAAGGATCTACTTTAATAAAACTAAGAGGCAATCTAGAATAATGAAGGAGGCATAACGAACCTGGTGCAATAGCCCAGAAGTGGCCTGTTAAGAGGTCAAAATGGTTCTGTTCCTTGGTTGAAAAGAAGGAATGGAGGGAATCTGCTACAGATGACTGCTTTTTCTCAACTTCAAAGCCCTTTCTAACTCAGTTTGTTCCCCTGTCTTCTGCACAAATGATGCAGATTTTTAAGGCTGATTTATCTGCTTTTGCAAACATCTCCATTCTTTCTGTGCGTGCCCTTATGCTTGGAACGCTGAATTAATCCATAAGACTACTGCTCTCTACAGACTCATTTCTGCTGTGATACTTAAGAGAGCCAACCAATGATGTCTGTGTGTGTGTGTGTAGCAGTTATGGGAAAGGTGAGTTAATTTGAAATAGAATAATTGGAATCACAAGGCTGCAACATAGCTAATCTATGTAACCACATGATCCAGTTTTTTACTCTTGTCCGCTTCTCCTTGCCTCTTTGAAATTTTTCTCCAAGTAAAGTAAACTGTTCAGGGCAGGGCTTGTAGCTTGTAGCTACATATTTGCACAGCATGTAGTACAGTGGGGTTTGATCTTGATTAGGAGCTATAGGGACTACTGCTGTCCTAATCATGGGAAAACTTTTTTCTACTCTGCACTCAGTCTGCATGGGAAGTTGGGATCAGTGTTGTTTGAACCACCTACTCTTGATGACCTAATTTAAGCAGTCTTTGGGGGAGAGATGCTTTTTTTATAATGCCTTGTAACTTAACTTAAATTATTAGACTTTACAACACAACTGTATATTGGATACATGTGACTGAAGTATGCAAGTTTGACATTTAGGCATGTATGACTATTTCATTTAGGGGTGTGGCTTCTTTTAAATGGTTAAACCAGTATAAATGTGCCCTATACTGGTATAGCTTGGGGCATGGCTACACTTGCAGATGTAGAATGCTTTGAGTTAAACCAGCCTTTGTAGAGCGCAGTAGGGAAAGTGCTGCAGTCTGTCCACACTGACAGCTTCAAGCGCATTGGCGTGGCCACATTTGTGGCACTTGCAGTGGCATTGGGAGCAGTGCATTATGGGCAGCTATCCCAGCATGCAAGTGACTGCAACGTGCTTTTCAAATGGGGGGGGAGGGTGGAGTGTGATGTGGAGTGTGTTGTGTGTATGTGGGGGGAGATAGTGGGTTTTTGGGGGGCTGAGAGCATGTCAGCATGCTGTCTTGTAAGTTCAGACAGCAGGAGACCCTCTCCTCCCCCCGCTGCTCGCTCTCTCACTCACAGCATTCCACACTATGGTTGCTTTGTCTCAGGGCAGATAAGCAGCCGGCTGTCAGAAACGGAGCTTTCAAAGGGCATATCCGCATTCCTGCTGCGATTCAAAACAATGACAAGAGTGGCCACTTGACTTAAGGGGATTATGGGACGTTTCCGGAGGCCAATCAGAGCGCAGTAATGCAACACCCCGTTCACACTGATGCTGGGGCGCTCGAGCTGGGGCGCAGCAAACGTTATTCCACTCGCCGAGGTGGAGTACCAGGAGCGCTCTAGCCGTGGAGTCAGAGCACTCTACGTGGACAGGTAGTGAGCTAGTGCTCCCAGGGCTCCTTTATTGCGCTGTAACTCGCAAGTGTAGCCAAGCCCTTATTCTCCTTCCTGTATGGGAATAGCTATATCAGTATAAAGCACCTTTACATTGCTGTAACTATGTCCATAGGAGTTGTACCGCTTAACTATATGGTACAGTAACTCTTCACTTAACGTCGTCCAGGATAACGTTGTTTTGTTGTTACGTCGCTGATCTATTAGAGAACGTGCTCGTTTAAAGTTGCGCAATGCTCCCTTATAATGTTGTTTGACAGCCGCCTGCTTTGTCCATTGCTTGCAGGAAGAGCAGCCCGTTGGACCTAGCTGGTGGAGGCTTGGAACCAGAGTGGACCGGCAGCCCCCATATCAGCTCCCCTAACTTCCTTGTGTGGCAGCTGGCCAGCAGGCTATCAATTGCCGGGCAGTTTAGGTGTCCCTCCCCCCACTGCTGTGTGCTGCTCCTGCCCTCTGCCTTGGAGCTGCTCCCAGGAGCCTCCTGCTTGCTGGGCGGGGGGGAAGAGGGGTGCTGATGTCAGGAGGTCCCCCTCCACCTGCTCCTGTACCCCATCTCCACAGAGCAGGGGGTGGACACGACAGGGCTTAGGATGGAGGGAGCTTGCTGGCAGTAGCTGCTGTCTTGACTTGCTGATCTACTTAAAAAGGCATTGTACTTAGAGAGAGGTCAGCATACTTAAAGGGGCAATGCGTGTCTCTCTCATCTCTCTCACACGCATGCATGGCAGTTTGGAAAGTGGGGGGAGTGGTGCGCTCCAGTGGGATAGCATGGGTTCATCATCATGTTCAGTTTCCGCAGGGAATGTTTGCAGCCACTGCCATGCGTCTATTGTCTTCTCCCTCCATTCCTACTGCCTTGTAGAGTGTGAGGCTATATTAACAACAACTTGTTAACCCTTGAGGGCTCAGCCGAGTGCTAGTTCATCATTTAGCAGCAAGGCATTCCCTGGGAAATATCCCACCCTCTGACTGCACCACCTCAACCAAGCTTCCCAATCGTCATTGCTGTGTATAGTATTAAATTGTTTAAAACTTATACTGTGTGTGTATGTATATGTGTGTGTGTGTGTGTGTATATATATATATATATATATATATAGTCTTTTGTCTGGAGAAAAAAATGTCCCTGGAATCTTACCCTCCCCCCCTCCCATTTACATTAATTCTTATGGGGAAATTGGATTCACGTAACATCATTTTGCTTAAAGTAGCATTTTTCAGGAACATAACTACAGTGTTAAGCGAGGAGTCACGGTAGTACCTATTTTTAAGGAAGAATAAAAATGATCCGGGAAACTACAGGCCTGTTAGTATGACCTCAGTTGTATGCAAGGTTTCGGAACAGATTTTGAAAGAGAAAGTAGTTAAGGACAGAGGTTAAAAGGTAATTGAGATAAAATGCAACATGGTTTTACAAAAGGTAGATCGGGCCAGACCAACCTGATCTTTCTTTGAAAAGATAACTGATCTTTTTAAGTATCAGAGGGGTAGCCGTGTTAGTCTGAATCTGTAAAAAGCAACAGAGGGTCCTGTGGCACCTTTAAGACTAACAGAAGTATTGGAGCATAAGCTTTCGTGGGTGAATGGCATCTGATGAAGTGGGCATTCACCCACGAAAGCTTATGCTCCAATACTTGTTAGTCTTAAAGGTGCCACAGGACCCTCTGATCTTTTTAGACACAGGAAATGAAATAGATCTAATCTACCTAGTTTCAGTAAGGCATTTGATACATTTCCAGGTGGGGGAAATTACTAAATTGGAGAAGATGTGAATTAATGAGAATTGAAAGATGGATAAGGAACTAGTAAAAGGGAAGACTACAGTGGGTCATATTGAATAGTGAACTGTCAGACTGGAGGGAGGTTATTAGTGAAATTCCTGAGAGATCGGTCGTGGAACCAATCTAATTTAACATTTGTATTAATGACGGTGACACAAAAAGTGGGAGTGTGCTATTAAAATTTGCGGATGACAAAAAGATGAGAGCTATTCCGGTCCTCCTCCATATTGGGAATATCATACAAGAATCATAGAATATCAGGGTTGGAAGGGACCTCAGGAGATCATCTAGTCCAATCCCCAGATAGATTTTTACCCCAGTTCCCTAAATGGCCCCCTCAAGGATTGAACTCAGAACCCTGGATTTAGCAGGCCAATACTCAAACCACTGAGCTAGATCTGGATGACTTTGAAAACTGGAATAATAGAAATGGGATGAAATTTAGTAGTGCAAGGTCATGCAGGTAGGGGCAAACAAAAGAATTTTTGCTATAAGCTGGGGACTTATCAGTTTGAAGTGACGGAGGAGGAGAAAGACCTGGGCGCACTGGTTGATTACAGGATGACTGAATCGCCAATGTGAGGCAGCTGTGAAAAAGGCTAATGCAGGATGCATTAGGTGAGGTATTTAGAGTAGAGAGAGGGAGGTGTTAGTACCATTATACAAGGCACTGGTGAGACCTCATCTGGAATACTGTGTGCAGTTCTGGTCTCCCAGATTTAAGAAAGATGAATTCAAACTGGAACAGATGCAGGGAAGGGCTGCTAGGATGATGAGAGGAATGGAAAACCTTCCTTATGCAAGGGAGACTCAGAGCTTGGCTTGTTTAGCCTAACCAAACAAAGGCTGAGGGGAGATAGGGAGATATGATCGCTCTCTATAAATACATAAGAGGGATAAATACCAGGGAGGGGAGAGAAGTTATTTAAGGTAGGTGCCAATGTTGACACAAGAACAAATGGCTATAAACTGGCCATCAACAAGTTTAGGCTTGAAATTAGACAAAGGTTTTTAACCATCAGAGGAGTGAATTTCCAGAACAGCTTCCCAAGGGGAGCAATGAAGGCATAAAACCTATCTGGCTTCAAGACTGAGCTTGATACGTTTATGGAGGGGATGATATGATGAGACTGTTTACAATGGCATGTAGCCAAGCTGTGACTGCTAGTAGCAAATATCCCCAACAGCTGGTGATGAGACACTAGATGTGGAGGGCTCTGAGTTACTACAAGGAATTCTTATCAAGGTGTCTGAATGTTGGGTCTTGCTGATATGCTCAGGGTCCAATTGACCACCATATTTGGGGTTGGGAAGGAATTTTCCCTTAGGTCAAATTGGCAGAGACCCTGGGGTTTTTTCACCTTCCTCTGCAGCATGGGGCATTGGTCACTTGCAGCTTTAAACAAGAGTAAATGGTGGATTGTCTGTAACTTGAAGTCTTTAAATCATGATTTGAGGACTTCAGTAACTCAGCCAGGGGCCTATTACAGGAGTGGGTGGGTGAGGTTCTGTGGCCTGCAACGTGCAGGAGGTCATACTAGATGATCATGATGGTCCCTTCTGGCCTTAAAGCCTGTGGCCTGGTCTAGCCTACACAGTTAGGTCATATGCAGCCTTGCGTTGACCTAGCTGTGGAAGTCTCTTCACTTAAATTTGGCTCCCGCCAATGTGCTTCTCTGTGCCGCTTTCCCCAAGCGGCATTGTCACGGTCGATGTAATTAGGTCGATGCAGTGTCAGTGTAGACACTGCGTTGCTTATGTTGACTGTTGCTGGCCTCCAGGAGCTGCCCCGCAATGTCCCACCATGACAATATAGTCCATACACCAAGCACTCCTGATAAGAATGTGCACTGCTGACACAAGGAGCCAAATGTGTGCGCACAAGCTATTTAATAATTGCGCTGGCTGTATGTCCACGTAAGTTAGGTTGACATAATTTGTAGTGTAGAATTGGGCTATGAGGCTGAGTCAGCAAGCTGCATCTGCACTAGGGATTATGCTGGCAAAGCTACATCTGTCAAGGGAGTGGTTTTTTCACATCTCTGATGGACATAGCTATGCCAATATAACCTTTCAGTGTAGACCAGGCCTGGGTTCCAAAGGGGTGGCTGCAGGTATGGCAATACCATAATGACGGTCAAATGCAATAGCCTTGTGGAATGGCTCACTTGTTAAAGTGAAGTCTTCTTTTGTACAGGGACATTTCCAAGTTTGCTATGCATTATATAATAGAAGAAATAGATGAAGACACATCCATGGAAGACTTGCAGAAAATGATGATAGTGGCCCTTATCTACAGGTTGTTAGTCTGCTTCTATGAGGTAACTAGTCATGAATATTAAATCCTAACTTATCAACTGGATGTCCAGGTCAAGTATTGTTCCATGACTATCAGAAGTATTTGAAAACTGATCAGTTAACTGGTTAAGAAATCTAACACTAGTACACCAACTGGTGTCTGATCCATGAAGTTGTTGGAATTACTAATATAGGATACTACTAGAAATTCATTTAACCATAAATTCCTTTATTAAATCCAAAGGCCAAATTATACAATTGCTCTAAAAACCTAAATAACAATAAGCAATCAACACATATATACAATAGCAAACATAAGTTGATCAGTACACTTTCAAAAGGCCCATCCTAGGGACATCTCTCTCATCCTGACTGGCATCAGCTTGATCAGATAGGAATGATAACTGCCCTTAGCAAACATGTTTTTTTGTTATACAGTGTAACAAACAAGTGATGTCATTGCCAATTGCTTACTTCAGCGAAGAACCAATTTTCGGCTGTCTGGGGCTGCTCTTTTCTTGGCTTTCCATCGACCTTGGCTAAGACCGGATTGGGCAGTGTGGACCTTTTTCTTTGAATGTATCCGTGTCAAAGCTGGTCTTTTATCTCTTTACAAGGGCCCATATTTTAAGATATTAAATATAAATTCATCACAACCATTTTGTCTGTAAGAACCAAGTTTTTGTTAATGAGAGGGTTCTCTTACCCATATTTCAAGAATAGCCTTTTCCCAAAACTTGTCTCGTTAGATGTCGCATTTTTTTTTAGCATTTGAACCAATTATTTTTCAAGGTTTGGTTACATTTGCTTAGCTCTTTACCCAATTTACTGCACACACATGTAATTCTTACCCAAGCTAAACTAACTTTAAACCTTTTATTTTAAAACTATAAATGTAAACTTACTACATGAGAATAAATGTAAATTAAATATTCAATGTATTATGATTAAGACTTATACTTCTGTGCCATTTGGATTGCTCTTATTTATAGAACAGACTTACTAAAATTATATACATTTTGGGCAACCAACAGTGATGGATTGCAGAAATAAAATAGTTAATTTCTCTTGCAGATTATCTGTATTTGGGGAGCTGGTGGGGCAACCCCAGGGAAGTTTCTGCTTGGACTTCGAGTTGTGACGTGTGATACATCTGTACTTATTGCACCAAATCGTGTGTTAGTGATTCCATCCTCTAATGTTAGCATAACAACGTAAGTATTCTTCACTTAATTGTATCACTCGCAAATTAATAGGGTTGAAAGTACATGATTCGAAATAAGATTATTTTGCTAATTTTTCTTATTAAAACTGTCATGTACAATGAGATCTCTCAGTACGTACTTTTTAGCGAGGGGGTCTGCCTTTTAACACTAAAGAATTGAGGGGCTCTATTTCTTCTGAAATATGGGTCTATTATAGGAGTGGGTGGGCAAGGTTCTGTAGTCTGCAGTGTGCAGGAAGTCAGACACAAAAATCATGATGGTCCTTTCTGGCTTTAAAGTTTGAGTCTCTTTGGCACTGAGTCTTATCAGACAGAATCCTGCAGTCACCCAAGAATCATGTCCTGACTATTTAATCACTTAAACAGAAAGGTATATTTTAGCTTTGCATGTTAAAATACTTGATTTCTAAATCCATATGTTTCACTTTGTGCTGCATACATTTGAGGTACTGGATCAGTGGCAAAACTTCTCTGGGCAGGGACTGAAAATTAAAACAAACTGATTTCCTTCTCATTCTAGGTCTACAATACGAGCCTTGATCAAGAATTTTTCTATTGCTTCCTTTTTTCCTGCATTCATTACGCTGCTATTTTTTCAGCATAACAGAACAGCCTATGACATTGTAGCAGGAACTATTGTGGTAAGAAGAAATGGAGTCAGATGATACTAAAAGAAGCCCAGATTACCAAACTTTTTTGAACTCCTAAAAAACAAAGTAAAGAAGACCATCAGTATTGGTTGCCCAAATTAACTGGAGACAGATTCAGATGTTAAACAATGAGTCATTCCAGTATGGTGCCAGTGATTATCTTGAAAGTATTGATTTTTCTTAAATGCCAAAGACATTTCAGAGAAATAGTACCTATTCAATTTGGAAGTATTAACATTAGATTGACAGGAAGGAAACTGGTTATATTTATCCATAAAGACAGTTTCTCTCCATCTCCAGAAAGGAGATGCCTGGAAATATTGCCATCCTAAAAAGTACTAGTTCTACAACTTGATTATTTTATGGCAAAAATAAGTTGGAGAATGTAGTTGTGGTCTATGTTGGTGTTTACAAAACACATTACAGAAACTATCCCTTAGAAGGGATTGCAGTGTTTCTTGGGGGGATGGAGGCAGAAATATAGCTAATAATGTGTTGCCATTAAACCGATACATTGTGCGGTGGTTGGGTATTATCAGCCCCTAAAAGGCTTAGTGAACTCCTTCACTTCAAGCATTGTATTCCTTCACCACTTTTCAAATGTGTTCTTTAAACATGTATTGTGGCAGGTTTTTTGCATGATTGTGTTAAGCATTAAGTCACTATTTATGTCTATCCTAATGAAGAGGTAAATTAGGTTACCACTTCTTTGTGGGAAGAATAAATTACTGTGGTATTTGTGAAATAGGTTTGTGTAAATAACTTCAGAGCTATAAAATTAACAGTATAGATCATGGTAACAAAAGGTGAATATGGTTGCTTCCGTTTGTTGGGGAAGGAAAGTTTTTACTTCCCTCAAATTGTTGCATATAGACTATGTAAACTGATATAAACTCCACCTATGCAGCATGTAGAAAATATCAACCAGAACACAAATTATAGCTAATTTTATAGATAAGTTCAAAAATTGGTTTTCACTTTATATTTTAAAATTCTGCCTAATCACTGCTATATGCAGAATAACTTGGATACCTACTGATGAATAAAGAAGCCTAATATTTTGCATGATTACATAGCTTTGATAACTTATGTTTATTCTTCATGTAATATTGACTGGGAAAGAGCTTCTGAAGAACAGTGCCAACTTTTTGTTAAAACTCGATTAAATATGTCAAGTTTTTTTTTTTTTTTTTTTGAATGAATGAATTGGAATTCACATTACTGTCTGTAGTTGGCTTAGGACTAAATATTGACAAGTGGTTGCAGCAGTTACTCTTGACTGTCATCTACTTTGTGCAAGGGGGTGTTGTGGGAGGGTATTTTAAAATGTGCAGTTTAAATATAGAACAAGCATTTCTACTGTTAGTGGCACTCACCTTCCTAAATTATTTCACTATCAACTTTCACAATAGTTTAGCATTTTAATGAGTGGTGCATCATTAGGGCTAAGTATTGAAGTGTTCCTGAGGGAGTATTCTGATCTAAGGAAGCATGAAGCTAAACTAATTTTCACTACAATGGTGTTTAATCTGCTTTTTGGTTACTACTTGCAAAAGGTTGAATGTCTGCCACGCGCACACACACCTCTGCCCCCCAGCAGGAGTGAGCTCATTGCTTCTTGTAAACTTGGTTTCCACTTACACATGAGAGTCCTGTGGCACCTTTAAGACTAACAGATGTATTGGAGCATAAGCTTTCATGGGTGAATGCCCACTTCGTCGGATGCAGCATTCACCCACGAAAGCTTATGCTCCAATACATCTGTTAGTCTTAAAGGTGCCACAGGACTCTGTTGCTTTTTACAGATCCAGACTAACACGGCTACCCCTCGGACACTTACACATGGTAATTTTAAAGTATTGCCTACTAACTGCAGATCAGATTAGAAGCTGCCAATTTCTTAAACTGCAGAGCCACTGTTTAAAATTTGAACCTCAGCTAATACTCATTCCTAGAGCTAATGAAGTGGATAAACACTGAGTTCAGCCACAGTACAAAGACAACTGTATTCTACTTTCCTTTCTGGTTTCACTGTGCGGTAGGGCAGCAGGTTTCACCAACACAGTGTGTGTGGTGTGCCCCCCTCCCCTTCCCTTAATAAGCGGTTCCTGTTCTGCACATGCTGTAAGCACAACCATTTGGATACAATACTAGCATGAATAGGTTAGACAACAGAAAGCTGGGAGGTGAGCCTACACCACAAACTCAAATAGCTGAGTTAGTCATACTAGTATAATTAGATGGTTTTGGGAGAATGACAGGTTTGCACACAGTAACAGTGAATATGAACTACTGCTAGATAGAAATGACGGGCTAACTCTGCTTAGGCCATTGCTTTTCAGTACAGATATGGCGGGGATAAAGTATGGCCCACGGGCAGGATCTGGCGTGTCAGGGCTTTCAGTCTGGCCCGCGGGATTGCCAGCCCTGTGGCGCAGTGGGGCTAATGCAGCCTCCTTGCCTGCTCTGGCCCGGTGCGGCTCCCAGAAGCAGCCGACACCAGGTCCCTGTGGGGCAGAAGGCTCCGTGCACTGCAGGCACCGCCGCCCCCGCAGCTCCCATTGGCTGGGAACGGAACCGCAGCCAATGGGAGCTTCAGGGGACGTACCCACAGGTCTGAGCCCCCCCCCCCCCCGCCCTCTGCACCTCAAATCCTTGCCCTGAGCCCTTTCCTGCCCCAGCCCTATGTTCATGGCCCTCAGGCCAAAAAGTTTGCACATCCCTGAGATATGGGGTGGCTATTTAACTTGATGGGCAGCCTTCTGCCTGTATCTAAAATCAGGACACTGACCTAACCTTTCTCAGCTGGAGACCCAGATTCCAAACCTAGACCCATCAAAAGAGCACCTCTCCCCCTGCCCCCCAAATTATGATGGCACTGTACAAACAGTCCAATGATTCCTGTCCAAAGAAATTACAATCTAAGATGACAAGATTAAAAAAGTAGTGGGTTTATCTTACACTATAGTCATTGCAAACAAATGGAGATAGGCTTGCTATTTTAGGGGAAAAAATCATTAGCATTAAAAGGAGATGTATTTTGCACATGCTTTTCCTTCAAAAATGTAAAGTTGATAATTGTACAGTTTTAATAAATTTAACAGTAAATAGTGTAGTTAAGGTAAAATCATTCCACTGATTAGACAGAATAACTTCCCATTTAATCTTTATTCACGAAGGTTGTAATGTCTAACACCCCAAACTCTTGGGGGAATGTCTAATGGGTGTGGATCAAGCTTAATTGTACCAGCATAAAATTGTTCTAATGATGTATGGGTCTTCTCCCTGAAGATATGCATTTTTGAACTCTTAAGATTAGTCATAACCTTTAAAACTAACACCCAAATCAAAGATTTCTGAAAGGCTCATAGCATTCTAAACAAGAATCTAGTTTCCTCTATATAAATGAATTCATTCTATGTATCACAAAAGGCTGCATGTTACCTTATCAGTTGCCTATAGATGATATGGTGCAACAGACTGCAAAGTAGAGAGACTGTGCTAGAGCAAAACTTCAAAACAGAGATTATAGAATCAAGAAAAAGAAACTTGACATCTCATGTGAAGGTTCTGCTCTTAAGTGCTCACGATGTCAATCATATGACCAGATTTATGGTGAATTGCTGCAGTTAACTGTGTACTTTCTCTTGTTTATATATTTAATCTTATCTCAAATAGAAGTTCGTTTTTACAAAGTACTTGAATTCAGATATCACTGCCTCTGGCTTCAGTCTGTTTCTCACACTCAAATGGGTACTTGCAGTTGCCACTTTGTTTGGAATTGGTCAGGGTATTCAGTTGTCTGATAGGTCAAAGACAATTTATCCCATTCAGTTCCTCAATAAAAATCTAAGCCCAGATGTGTCCTTTTATTTGAAGAGTGACGTTACCACAAACATTTGAGTTTTGAAATTAATTCCTTGGTCATAGCTGCAGTTTGTTAGCAAGTACATATTTGGCTTCCCTGTTCTGTCTTTCATAAAAAAGTTCATTCACAGCTGTTTGCCTATTTAGAATATAAGCTTTAAGAAGTCACTTCTAAATTGCCTTTAGACTTTAGCCTATCAATTAAATGTGACCAAGTTATGCTCTAGTTATTCAGCTGGGAGGAGCTAGTTATCACAGAACTGGATAGCTCAGCTGTGCTTGTGGAAAATGAATGGCAAATCGCACAGTTGATAAGCCAATCAGTGACTGTAGGCTGGTCTGTATAAAATACAAGTACCTTTTTGTATTCCTACCTAATTAGGTATGAAAGATGCAAGGGACAAAGGACAAGCTAATCATGGACTGAAGTGTATCTCCACTTTTGGAGAAGTGTTTTACTGTGTTGAGTGGGGAGCTGCAGTTGAATACTGAGGAGTGATTAAGATCAGCCTAGATATTACGATTCAGAGTTCTGTGAACAAGACTACCTAAAGGTGGTAGGTTGAAAAGTTCTCTTTGCAATAAGCATGTCCTGCTTCAGTCTTTAGGCATATTTCAGAAGAAATTACCTTTTAGGAGCGTGTGCTTTGCTTTATAACAAGGTTAACTCAGTCATGATGCAGAATCCTTGCAGCAATGGGATGAGTTGCAGCTCTGGAAGTTGGTAGTACTGTAGCTGGAGCGTTACCACCTGTTGACGTTTTTTTCCTGTAGAGCAGGGGTCGGCAACGTTTGGCACGCGGCTCGCCAGGGTAAGCACCCTAGCGGGCCGGGCCAGTTTATTTACCTGCTGCTTCCCGCTGCCCCCATTGGCCCGGGACGGCGAACCACGGCGAGTGGGGGCCACGATCGGCTGAACCTGCCGCGTCAGCAGGTAAATAAACTGGCCCGGCCCGCTAGGGTGCTTACCCTAGCGAGCCGCGTGCCAAACGTTGCCGACCCCTGCTGTAGAGCAGCAGTAGCTCTTCACTGCAAGTATGGCTTGGCTAAGATAAAAGGGATGTTTATTTTAAAGATTTAGTTAACACTTCAGGCATACTCTAGGAACTGCTACAATTTCCTTCCTTCCTGTATAGAGGCCATTTTCTGCCCACAGTGGGAGAGAGTGAAAATAATTCCTTGGTATTACACTAGTTAACTTTGAGGGCTTATCTTTACTGATGTGTTAACTCAACATACAACTTGTATTGCCTTAACCCAACTCCTGTCCATACACCTATCTCTTAGTTTGAATTAGGTGCTTTAAACCTGAGTGAGTTAGCCCATCATCTCGTGTGAACTGTAGCTCAAAAAAGCCCCTCAAACAGATGCACTTATACAGCAAAACAGTGCTTTTGCTAGTGTAATCTGTTTCTCTCATGGGAGGCCAGGGATGTGGGAAACACCAGTAAAAGTGCACTTTTGTTGGCAAACTGTCCACACTAGGAGTGCTTTGCCAATGTGGGATGCTGATAGCTATTCCAGCAAAGCCTTCCAAATATAGAGCTGGCTTTAATAAAGTAGTGGGACCTTGCTGCATCCTCAGTGTTATTTTGTAGTTTGACCAAAGTCACTTGAGGTTAGCTAATGTGTGGTAATAGCTCAAGTGTAGACAGTGTAAACTAACTGCACTGAAGGCAGTTGAACCCTTGAAATAGGTAATTACTGCTTTCAAAGGTGATCAGTACAGTAGTAGTGAAGTAGGTGAGCTGCCCCTCCCAAGTTTCCAACTGTTCCCATCACCTGTACAGCTCCACCAAGGGAAGCCCTACTGGAAACAGACCAGCATAATTTTTATTAAGTCTTCTGATGTTGCTTAGAGCAATGGAGCTAGGTGAGACTACTACAGACCTACACCTGGTCTCCACTAGGCTTTTACAGCAAGATAAGATAGATGTCTCTGTCAAAAAAACCAACCCCAACCCCCATTTTGGAAGTGAAGAGAAACTTGAGGTTCCAGCAGTCAAACTTCTGAAATGAAGCAGCTAAGAGTGTGACTAAGTTCCCTTTTTCAGAGATGACTAGCACATTTAACTACAAAGCTGTTTTCAGTTTTAAAAATATAATTTGTTAAGTGATTACGGCCACACTTAGCCATCAAAACACCTAACTTTTAAAATTTTTAATACTAGCTTGTGCTTTAGTAATTCTAATAGGCTAGAACA